TTGGCATGATGGCATGCAGCATTTATCATCATATACAAGATTTTATCAGAGCATTATGTCAGAAGTGCCGAAGATCACAGCAAATACATTTAAGAGACGGTAGAACAATTTGGGTGAACCAAAATCTGGTGAGGACCTTCAAATGTCTTAATTTTGTGATTTTAGCTTCTCGTTATGTTCAACCTTATTTACTTAATTAAAATGTTGTTTATGATGGAGAACCCGATACTCTTTCATGTAACAAAGTGTTTAAGGGCATTGGAAATTTGTTTCATCTCATGTGAGGTTTACTAGTGAAAGGAAGGTTATTGAAAACGAGAAGATAAACTTTATGAATTGAAGAAAAGGAAAGCGGAAAAAGCTTTGTTATGAGTGGGTGTTCTCATTGTTGTTCTTAGTAAATACTCCCTCATCCCTTTTACACAGAATAACTAATACTCTACGATAAGCAAAATATAGTTAAAGTTACTTGAATTAATAAATATGTTAAAAGTACAAATTTCTTTTCACAAATACCCTCATTCAGTAATTGATCTCATTAATAAATGCTCCCAACAAGAGGTCGTTGTTTCTTACAAATAGGATTAAGAGAACTCTAAAAAAAATTTTCTTATAAAAAGGACCGGAGGCTGGAGGGAATAATGAATAAAGGGTGCACTAAAAACTCACTCCTTTAGAAATGCTTGGAGAGCGGAGAGCCTGCTTGCTTCTTGGAGGCAAGTAAAGAGAATATGGTTAGTTTGACGGGCTAGGGATGAAATTTTTTTTTTTAATTTTGAAGTTTCTTTTATCTGTGGGCCCAACTACTTTGATCGTGGGAATTTCTACATTTAAATCTCTCATAACATGAAGGATCAATGTTCGGATCCTAACTGAGAGAAGTGACTACATTTAATACCTAATAATGTCTTGAATATGATTGTTTCTAATAGAAAAATACCTATGCATAGCCCAAAAAAATCCTTTTAATTGTCAACTCAAATACATAATGCATAAAAGAACTACATGATAGAAACTATATTATAAGCTACTAAGTCATACATTGAGCAGCATAAGTGCTCTGTGAGAAAGTTAACCAAAAAAGGCAACTTTGCAAAAAAGTTATGGCCTTCACGGGCTTGAAGGATGGTTCGCTATCCTACTTGAGTACCCAGTCATTATAGGCCTGTTTAGAACAACTTATAAGTAATTTATAAGTAGCTTTTTAATAGTAATTTACGGGATGCGAGGCAAATATATGAAAAGAGTTTTGTCTAACTTACGTAAAACGTGTTTATTATGGGATTTTTTAAGTCCTCCCAAGCAGGCCCTATATTGAACTTGTTATATTGATATCATAGTACAAAGTCTTAAGAGTGATAGGCAACAAGCAGGAAGGCAGTGGTTGCTTGTATACTACTTCTCCTATCCCTAATGTAAGACTTATTTAACTAATTTAGTTAGATTAAGAAAGTTAGTTAATTATAAAATGTATGACATGTTTTTTTTAAATATATACTATAATCATCTTCTTTGATATCCTCTCTCCCCTCTTCTACTTAATATTGTTGAGAGAATATCAATAGAGATAATTTAAAAAAAATTGATAAATATAAAAAATAGGTTTTATATTTAAGATAAAAATCAATTCAACAATTAGATACTATATTAAAAACTGGAATAGTATTTGCTTGAATTTATGGGAGACAAAAATTCTAATAATATGGGCTATGAGAGGTCATAATCTAGTCTCTCAGAATTTTCTAGTCATGTTTGGTCATTTTTTTTTGGTGAAGAGGAGGGCTTAGCCCATTACAAAGAAAAACTACACATGAGGGGATAGAGATCCCATATAATCTTGGTGCACAAGGGCCCTCAGCGAGTCTGGGACCGTATCAATAAAAACAAAACTGTGTACCCAGCAACTTTGTTGGTATCTCTTGGTGTATATTGAAACTGTATACTCCAGTTCCTTTTGCTCATCTCGACAATCAAAGTCATGTTTGGTCATTCATACAATGATTATCTGTATAAACCTATGAAAGTGGGAGAATTGTGCGTGGCCCAATTGTTTTTCCCCCGCAATTCGAGGCATGAAAAATGGTACATTTTGAACAAATATTTCTCATCAAGCACTACAGAGATGTCTTATTCTTTTTTTTTTAAGATAAAAGAAAATAATTCTTATAAGATTTAGGTTTCCCAAATTAATTGAATATTCAATTTGCGAAAAAAATGACTATCACTTTTCACCCAAATTATTTTTAACAAAAATCTAAGACAAATTAAGGATTCGTTTAATGTTTTGAAGTTATTTTTTATGTGTTGCCAGAATAAACTATCATGCAAGGAATTTCTGAATCCTTAAAACCAATTCTTGAATTCCATTTGCAGGAAGAGGAGAAGAGTAAAGTTGAATGAACTGGAAGTTCCATCATTCTGTGGGATTGCAAGGTGCAAACTAATCTTAGACAAACTTGACATCAGATCAATGCAATTTACATTGAGTTTTAAGATTCTTTTGTTGGAACACAATTTTGATTCATTTCTTACTTGCAATATTTATTTCCATGGTTTTGTTTTCTTGCCAGCTTTGTTTTCCTATTTTCTTATGATTTTCGAGTTCCGTACTCGATAATCATCATCAATTGCATATAAAATGTACAGGGGACCTGTAATTGATGACAGATCCAATAGTTACAATCTTGTAAATTGAAAAATGAGTAGGTCAAAATAAATCAATGTTTGCACACTTAAGAGTCTCAAAACATTTAGCTATTAAATCTTTCTCTTTGTTTTTTTTTTTTTTTTTTGCTCTTGATATACAAGAGGGCTAGAGTCCAAAGTAAAGAAAACTAATAACTCAAGCGATTAAATCCCAGCATATCACTTTCGCAAATGTTCTTCAGTGAATCAGCAACCATATTTGACCTTCTGGGTATATGCAGCAAGGGCAAATCACATGCATTTCTCTTTAATGACCGAGCCTGCATAAACGCCAAGAATATTCGAAAGCATCAATAGAAACTTTTGAATCTGATTCAAAAACAACTCTTCTAAAACCAAACTCCCAGGCTAAATTTAACCCTTTTAAAATTGCTCATTCTTCAGCCTATATAACCCTACAGTCCCCTATGAAATGAGAAAAACCGACAATCCAAGAGCCATTAGTGTCTCTAATCACATCCTACTTTCTTAGTAGACAAAGAAACGGCCGCATCAACATTGACTTTAACCCAACTACTAACTGGAGGTTGCCATCCTGGTATGGTATTAGATAAACCTTTTGAAATTGAAGTAATTGGTTCAGAGGACTGTACATAATTTTTCCAAGCGTTCAAAACTACTATAACAGGTTCGTTTGACTTTTGAAGATCATCTTGAAACATGTGTTTATTTCTTTAATTCCATAACAACCAAAGTGAGACTCCTCATATAAGATTCCAATCCGTAGTCACAACAACTCCCACATCATTAGAGAGATTCCAGGTCATCCATTCTGGTAAAGAGAGTGAGAAGAAATGAGATAGATACCTTAGATGAACAACGTATAGCCACACTTCTTTTGCATACGAACAATGCCTTTAGATATGAAGAGCAATTTTAATTCCAGCATCACAGTGAGAACAATTAGGAGAGCTTGTGGACCATCTACTCTTCCATTCTCTAGTGGGCAATCTGCTATGAAAAGTAATCCATAAGAAAACACTTATTTTCTCAAGTCCACGCCACTTCCAAATATGCTTTAAAACATAATTTTAAGCATGAGAGTTGGTTTTCTCAATCATTTGGTAAGCACTCTTAACAGAGAAGTTCCCATGAGCAGAGTTTTTCCATGTCATAACATCATTTCCTGCACCGTCAAAAGAGAGGGATTTGAGTAATCAATCTCTGCATCACTTCCTGATTAACCACAGTCTGCAAGCGATCATAATCCCAACTTCCAAACTTAGTCCAATCCACAGTCTCTCTCTTCTGTTGGAATAGAATGAGGTTCATGTTTTCTCAAGCCCACTTAATAAGAATTTTTGCCTACTAAATCCAATCACTGCTGCCTGATCTTCGGTTGTCAGTTTGGCCAGGGCCGGTGGGTGGAGCACCTACGGTTGCGCTCGACGGTGAAGGAATTTTTTCATTTTACTCGACGGCACTCATATCATTTTACAGGAAAAATGGATACTTCTTGAAACTTACATATTTCGGTAGTAAACATGTCATTCTCCCTATGTTAAAAATGTTTCGTAGGGAATAGAAGGGAAAGGATTTTAATAAACCCTTTCAAAACTTGAAGCAGGGTCTTAAAATTTTAATGAAGAAAAAGTATAAGATTAAAAAGTAATAAAAGTTAATTAAAAGCTTTTTTTTTAAAATCAAACTCATTAAAAAAAATTTTCTGCTCCCTTTTCCTCACACCAATCTGGCGACACTCAAAAGGAGATGAAGAGATTACGTTAAAACAATCCGGATTGACTAATCAAATTGGTCAGATATATAAGAGATCACATTATAAATTTTAGAATAACATGAAAATCCCCTGAATCGCATCACAGAATCGTTGCACCGCCAGAGCATATATATAAAGCGATTAAAATGGCCTCACCGGAATCTTATCTCAGGACGTTTCAGTAAGATCTTTGTTTTGTGATAATCCCAAACAACTTCGTTTTTGGTACCAAGTCAAAAACATACATGAGAAAATGATTAAGTTTTACGACTAAAATTAAGGGTATGTCTGGATGGTAGGATGGTTGAATCAATTTGAAATTCTGAATCATAATTTAATGGCATTCAAATTTTGGTATCTATATAGTCAGTTATCCAGCTAAAAAACCTTCCAAGAGATTGTACTGCTACACATTAACTTGACTGAGGCACAGCCTGAAGTAAAAAATATACTAACAAAGATTAACATAAGAAGTTAAAATTTACACCAGAGTAAATTGAAAATTTAATCCTATGCTGGTACATACGGTGGACACTAGTAAAAAATTAGCCAGCAATGACTCTTGAGAAATTAAAGCACAGGTGCCTATCTCTGACTAACCTAAAGAGTGACTGGCTGGCTGGCTGTATTCTTAACCATCATGAAGGCGTATTAATTGACAGAAAACTACTTTACAGAAGTATATATAGACATGATAAAATAACGCAAGCGGGACAGAATATAATTGCAAATCAATGCTCATGCTTAACTCTTGCCTTCAATATCCCAGGAAGAGGCGGCGAGGTTGGAGTTCTGACCGGTTGGTTTGACACTGAAGGAGTGACCTGCGCCTGATACAAGCCTGACATGCTAGAACCTTCACCCCCGTCCACAAGATTCTGCGTCATATTATCACTCTGCGGTCTCTCACAAAATTTCATTGCCTTGAGGACATAGTTGTCATCATGCAGCTCAAACGGAGTGCTGTAAATGGAGAGGAGAAAGTATGCACAGATTAAAAGAAAAGATTCAGATTTTGGAGACTTCAGATATAGAAGACAAAAGCAGCTGGCTGGCGCACGTCTTGACAGAAAAGCTGTGTCCCTCAATGGTGTAATTGAAATATGATGTTTCTGTTGATGGAAATCAGTAAATTTATAAAGATACGCTTATTAGAGTTAGTCTTTGTAAGGCTTCCATTTTCAGGTATTTATGTGAAGCTGAGTACGATTTGTCCAGCTGTTCTGCGGGCAATTTGAGGCATAAAGCTCATTGGTTTTGGGCAGCGCAAGGAGCGTAAAGTCCTTTGGCATTGTGCTTAGTCTGCAGGACTCTGGTGCCTCAGGTTATAAGGGAATGCAGAGTTTTTAAATTTATCCCTACTTACTCGTAGGTTTCAGCAAATGGTTATTTCAGGGAGTCCCTTGCGAATTTTCTCAAACGAAAGCAAAAGCTCTTACAAGCTAATTGTCTTTAGCCTAGTATTCGTGAACTTGGGAGGATTACTAGCAGAAAGATAAACCCACCAATGCTTTCAAGAACAGCATTGGGTATCCAAGAAGCTTTCTCACCTATTGAAATCAAAATGTACAAGCTGCATATCTTCTGATATTTCCACTTCAACAGTTGCATGTGGGCGAGTCTACAGTTTCAAGAAATTAGGAAAAACAATTGTCAGCAAGACTACAAAGAAATAATTCAAGAGCCATGCACTATTATTATGTACATTATCTAATTTAAAGTTTCTTCCTTTTAAAATCTGGCCTGTAATATATAAATGAAGAGGAAAGGGAGATAGTAGAGGGGAGGGGGAGAGGAGATGAAGACACATGGAGAACAGAGAAACATAGAGGGAGGGAGGAAGAAGCACAACTCAATACATTAATCTAAAAATCCTTGATTACAAACTAACCCAGCCCATTTTTATAGCATAATAGCCTTAACCCTAACTTCCTAACTAATTCATATTTTCCAATTTATTACATAACATTGACCTTTAATTAAATTATAACAAGGCTGCACTCTCCTAAGCTTGACAACTATGATTCCTACCATGATCCACAACATAGAATTGTGGAAATGTAATCCCAAACAAATGGTCTGAGTTCAGGGAACCAAAAGTGCTGGATGATGTGGTTCTGGCAAATAAAACATCTTACAGTGAATATGACGAGAGTAGACCCAACAAAACCATGTCAGACAGTAAGACTGTTCAAACCAAGAAAAAACCGAGCAACAATTTCATATGAACAGGTTCACCAAAAAAATCAGAAGATAATGAGAAGATAGTATTACCTGTACAAGAATAAAAGGTAAGGACACACCTCCACTGGGAGCATTTCCTGAGCCATATAATTGCTCATTTCGTTGTATGAGATTCTGAAGACCTATGTACTTGATGTAATAAGACAAGGAGTCAGAAAATAGACACGAATCAAATACAATATAAACCATTTGTCAATTGTCAGCTACTTATAACCAACAACGCATTCCAACAGGAAAAACTACAAAAGTTTCTTGAACTGGGAAATTGGTATTGGATTCCCAAAATCAAATCCATTAGTGAGTACTGGCTTACTTGCTCCTCCAGCTCCTGCAGGTAGGCAGCTTTCTTTTCAATCCGATTCCTAAGCTGAAGGCGCTCCGTCTGGATATATTACACTAGAGGTGTCATAATCCTTCTAGTATTTTTGTATTTTCTCATAACATTACAGGGAAAGCATAAACCATTTGACCCATAAAAGATCATGTGAAATGTATGCAAACCTTTAATTCTTCAATATCATTCAGACTTGTACGAGGGAGACCCTTCCATTGAATTTCCTTTTTATCCTTGGAAATTATATCCATTGCCATCAGAACATTCAAAGCATCATAAACCCTTCGACGAATGTTCTTCTCATCATATTGTTGCTGTCAAATATTTGCGCTCAGTTAGTCCAGAACATCTAACTGATTCTTCCATTCAGTATATTGCTATTGATAGTCTTAGGAGCAAACCTGATCAGGAGATGAAATGCTACTACTCGGGTCAGCAAATTCAGCCACAAGTTCATCTGCAACCTATCACAATAACTACAAACTTCAGACATATCGAATTGAATTAAATTAAATTATAAGAACCAAATCGAAGGTTAGCAACTTGTCCAGAGGAAGAAAAGACAATATTTGGCATAGAATTCTAACTCAATCAGTTCATAACTTCATGTAACAGGTTGGGAGGCGGACCTCACAGGATAGGTACCACACCAAAAGATTTACTGATTGTCAATCTTCCCCCGAAAACCACTCAATCCTCAGACAATTCTAATATAAAGAAGCCCGATAATGTCTCCTAAACAGCTACATGTACAATAATAATAATATGCAACAATGCAAATATTTATTACATTTCCTCAGTATTGTTATTTCATCCCACCAGATAACCCTATTGCCCCTGTTGCATTGAAGAAATCCTGCATCAATGCCACATAGGCCCTTTGTACCTTTCATTTAATATGCGAGATCAATAAAATGCTTGGGAGTTCCAAAGTTCACTGATTGAAAATCCCCTTCAAAATCCAAGGCCAAATAAGAGTATCTGATTTCGTAGTTACTATAAGAGGCTAATGTAGTTTAGAGGGCTTAGCATGCATTACACAACTCCAAGCCATACCTAGCTTGATGAATTCTACCACGAGACATCAACTTATTGATAGAATATCAAGACTCATACGGTAGAAATAACAGAAAATTAAGAGGGTATAGGGATAGTTAATTGTTGTTTGTGGTTGATTTCTCGTATGGTTGTGCTGTCAATTTCCTAGGAGTTAGTTATGTTCAGTTATTTTAACGACAGTTATTTCCTAGCCATATACATGTGCTGCACTAACTATTAGGTCCTGTTTGGTTCCCGGGAACATTTTAAAGCAATAGGAAGAGGAAAATGAATTGGAATAAGCTCAAAAGGTATGTTTGATGTGTAGGAAAAAAAGAATGGAATCTTGAAATAATTTTTCTCTGAGAAAGGTGGTAGATCTATGAGGAAGCTTGATTTGCTGAAGAAAATTCAAGACTGCTGACAATGCCGTCACAGAAGAGGGTAAGGTTGAAGGTGGAGGGTGAAGGTCTGAGAAGGTTGCATCTAGGGTCTCCATCCATGAAGATGGCAGATTACTCTCCATAGGAACAGAATGGATGAAGATTATTTTCCAAGGAAAATAAAAATTTCCAGCCTTTGCCATGAAAATCAATTCCTAAGAAGCCAAAATCATGCAAGCCAAACCACGGAAAATGCTTTTTTCTCTTCCTTTTCGTGCTATTGGGCCCTCTTTCCAGTGAACCAAAAGGGGCCTTAGAGAATGGATGTGAAGTATAATTCAGTCTAATATCTTGGGAGATTCTTCCATTGGCTTTATTGGACTCTGAACTTCAGATTCCAGTTCATAAACTGATAGGGAAATCTTTTATTCCCCTTCTTCCTCATCCATCTCTATTTCTTCAGTTCCCAAGAAGTTCCCTTGAATTTACTACAAGATCCACAGAAAATGCCCAGAATCGATCATATTCACGACTCAAAATTTGATCACTTATGGCTAGACACCACGACCCCACCACCTTGAGACCATAACACAGCAAATTACTCCTCTTTGGTGGGTCCATCAATAACAGATTCATCATACAATCTATGCATAAAATTGAAGTAAAAACTAATGCACATAACAGATTGCGAAGTAATCACCTAACCTCATTGTAAGTGGTTCTCCCCTTACTTTCCACCTTTTCACACACTGCAAGAGAAAAGGATAAATATATTACTAAGTAAACATAAGCAGCAACTGCATAAAATGGACGTCTAAGAGCAAAAGTTTGTAGTTATTGAAGTGCACAAAATGCAACTCAGCAAGGCCAACATTAAAAACAAGAACATAAAGAGGAAATGGATGGATAATAAACCTTTCATGCTAAATTGGCGGAGCCCTCTTCCACTCTTGTCACCTCCAACAGCACGCTGGCCTCTTTTTTTCTTCTTGCTACTGTTTAAAAACTAAGAATAAATAAGAACAGAATAACTGTGTAAACAAAGAACAAAAAAGCATATAGAGAATTGTAAAACCACATGAATTAACACTCGCAAGTATTAATTATAATTCACATCCAGTATCTAATTCTACAAATGAAAGTAAATGCGTGAGCACGTGTTACCTTGAACCAAACTAGAAACGAAACAATCCAGTGTATATCAGGAAATAAACAAACAAACCACATTTAAAAATGTAATCTGCTACAACCTTAAAAAGGAAAGCCACCAAGGTCCAGATCATACTACATTATAACAACTACACATTCACTACAACCTCATAGAATAACAGAGAACTCACGCAACTGCTCCCTGAGATCCCGCATCATCACCATGGATGTCAAGATGATTTAGTCTTAGAAAAGTGTTATCACTGGCTGGTGTAGCCATTGTCTGCTCACTCCGACTGGATGGAGACCCAACACTTTTACTTGTAGAAATTGATTGGCCAGAAAGTGTTGTTCCACGACCTAGCAGCTCATCTTCCTCTTCCTCTCGACATGGTTGCTGAGGTCGTGTCCCCATTTTGGTAAGTTACTTACCTATCCTCCTGATAAGAAATCCCTATGATAAAAAAAGACTTCAATTGAACTGGAGATTCAAGGTAGAATAAATGGTTTCCTGCATGATATAAACAAAGATCAATTCAGTAGCGCCTCAACCACCATTCCAATACTATTCAACATGAGAAGGTCCATACAATAGAAAAAGTATGACAAAGCACCAGAAAAGACCTCATAGCAACTATGCGATCCCAATGAAAACATAAGATTTCTGCCGTACAGAGGACTCCATCAAGATTCATAATAACATATAATAATAAACTGAAGCAGGATAGATAAACGAATCAGTCAAAAGAATGACTTGGTTCCTACCACATAATATGAGTAGAACTTACGAAAATCAGCATCAACACAAAAGATTCAGACTTGACACAGAATTATTGAAGAAACATAATGATTCTTACCACATAGGGAAATCAATAATTTTTCTGATCCTGACTGCTAAAAGAAGACAGTTTGGATATGAAGAGACAGAGAAGAATTGACATAAGAGCTCAGTAGCAATATGCTTCTCCGCATGCTCACCGCCTAAATTGAAAGTTACAAATATCAGTATAAAAATATAAAATGCAAGAGGTTAAATAGTTGAGAGAGGCAAATAGGCGCCCAATTAATTGTACAAATCTCTACTGACTGCATGACGCAATTTTGCAAATTGAAAAGCTACACATTCTGTATCACAGAACTAAAATATCGAAATCAATAATCAAAGTTTCACAAAACAATGACAGCTGGGATTTCCAACACTGTAGATAGAAAAGCCAAGATTGCTCACCTACAAGCTCTTGTTCAACAATTAAATTTGTTCTAGTCTCTGCCACAGGAAATATAACACTGAACAAAACCCTAGAGGATCTCACTCCATAATAACAATAAAACCCTATTAAAGTTCAACGCTACTATAGTAGAATATAATAAAAATCACTCATCAAACCAATAATACTTCCAAAGAGCAGAAAGTTACTCTGACCCCAATATGCCCCTTGAATGTGTACATACTCTAACAGTATCTTGGTACATAATAAACACCGCAGGAGACAAAAGGAGTACGGTATGAAAGAGTCAGTAGGTAGCTGTTTAATTCTAGAGAAAACACAAAAGAAGCAGAAGGAAATAAGAAGAAATAAACAAACCAGATGCAGAAGCAAACGAGAAGCAGATTCCGAAAACGGAGGACACCGGAAGAACGCGAACGCAAATCTGAACGAGATTCAGAAACGATGTTTGACGCCGAGAACGAGAATCCAAACGCCGGCAACGAGAACGGAGAGGCGTGGACGAATCTGAGCTCGAGGTGAGAGATAAGAACGACAACTATGAGGGAGAGTATGAGTGGAACGGTGTGGAATGAAAAAACCTAACCCGCTTTGCTTGGAAGGAGAGAAAACGTGGGAGGAAACGCAAGCAGGAGAGAAAAACACTGTTTGGATGAGGGGAAAACTAAAAAGGAAGGAAAGGTGCGACAGAAAATAGAAATGCCACAGCACATTTGATAGGGTGGAAGGGTGGTTAATAGAAAGGGAAAAAGACAAAAAAATAACAACTTAACTTCACAATTACTAGAAAATCCACTAAATTTACAAAATTCCATTTTGATCACATGAGACCAAATTGGCATTATCATATCAAATAAAAAGACTAAATTGCCTTTTATTTTATTTATTATTTTTAAAATACCAAAACTCCCACTAGCCAGCCAGTCGCCAAAGCTCCAGCAGCGGCAATCACTGGAGCTTCGGTAACCAACCAATAATTGGTCATTGGTCACCCGAACTCCGGTAGTCGTAAACAATTTTTTTGAAAATTTTTACAACTTTAGTATAACGGTTAACAACTTTTATAATGTTATTAACAACTTAGTATAGCAGTTAACAACAGATTTTTTGGGAAATTCAACAAGTTCTGATGACCGAAAACAAATTTTTTGAAAATTTTTACAATTTCAGTATAACGATTAACAACTTTTGTAATGCTATTAACAACTTCAATATAGCAGTCAACAACAGGTTTTCTGAGAAATTCAACAAGCTCCGATGGCCGGAAACAATTTTTTTGAAATTTTTTATAACTTTAGGATAACAGTTAACAACTTTTTTAATGCTATTAACAACTTTAGTATAACAGTTAATAATAGGTTTTTCAGAAAATTCAACAATTAGTCACCGGAGCTGCGGCAACCGGAAACAATTTTTTAAAAAACTTTTACAATTTCAGTATAATGGTTAACAATTTTTGTAACGCTATTAACAATTTCAGTATAGCGGTTAACAACAGGGTTTTCGAGAAATTCAACAATTGGTTGTTGGAGCTCCGACAGCCGAAAACAATTTTTTTGAAAATTTTTACAACTTCAGTATAACGGTTAATAACTTTTGTAATACTATTAACAACTTCAGTATAGCGGTTAATAACAGGTTTTTCGAGAAATTTAACAATTGGTTGCCAAAGCTCCGACGGCAAGAAACAAATTTTGTGAAATTTTTTACAATTTCAGTATAACGGTTAACAACTTTTGTAACGTTATTAAGAACTTAAGTATAGCGGTTAACAACAGGTTTTTCAGGAAATTTAACAATTGGTCACTAGAGCTCCAGCGGCCAAAAACAATTTTTTTGAAAATTTTTACAATTCCAATATAACAGTTAACAACTTTTGTAATGTTATTAACAACTTCAGTATAGCAGTTAATAAGTTTTTCGAAAAATTCAAAAAGCAGCATTTTTACAATTTCAATAATATCATTAACAAGTTCTCTAATCTATTAACAACTTTGGTATAACATTATTTTTATAACTTTAACAACTTTTTTTTTTGAAAATTTTTATAACTTCAGTGTAATAACTAACAACTTTTATAACTCTATTAACAATTTCGATATAACAATTAACAATAGGTTTTTGAGTTTGTTAACAACTTCACTGAAGTTGTAAAAATGTTACTTTTTGAATTTTCAAAAAAACTTGTTGTTAACTGATATACTGAAATTGTTAATAGTGTTACAAAAATTGTTAACTGTTATACTGAAGTTGTAAAAATTTTCAAAAAAAAATTTTCCAACCACTAGAACTTGTTAAATTTCTTAGAAAACCTGTTGTTAACTGCTATACTGAAGTTATTAACAACATTACAAAAGTTGTTAACATTATACTGAAATTGTAAAAATTTCAACAAAAAAAATGTTTCCGATTGCCGGAGCTCTGGCGACCAATTGTTGAATTTCCCGAAAAACCTATTGTTAACTGCTATATTGAAGTTGTTAATAGTATTACAAAAGTCGTTAACTGTTATACTGAAATTGTAAAAATTTTCAGAAAAATTGTTTCCAGCCGCTGGAGCTTGTTAAATTTCTCAGAAAACTTGTTGTCAACTGTTATACTGGAGTTGTTAATAGGGTTACAAAAGTTGTTAATTGTAATAGTGAAGTTGTAAAAATTTTCGAAAAAATTGTTTTCGGCTACTGGAGCTTGTTGAATTTCCCAGAAAACCTGCGGTTAACTGCTATACTGAAGTTGTTAATAGTATTACAAAAGTAGTTAACTGTTATACTGAAATTGTAAAACTTTTCAAAAAAATTGTTTTCGACCACCGGAGCTTGGGTGACCAATTATCGGCCTGTCGCCGGAGCTCCGGTGACTGCCACTGTCGGAGCTTCGGCGACCGGCCGGCCAGTGGAGGCTTTGGTATTTTAAAAACAATAAATAAAATGAAAGGCAATTTGGTCTTTTCATTTGACATGATAATGTCAATTTGGTCTCATGTGACCAAAATGGTATTTTGCAAATTCAATAGACGTTTTGGTCATTTTGAAGTTAAGTTGTCATTTTTTTGTCTTTTTCCCTAATAGGGAATGAAATTTAAAAAAAAAAAAAAACCACATTTGGTAGTGTGGAAGAGTGGTTAATAGAAATGAAAGTTAAAAAAAAGAAAAAGAATTAAATGGATTTGCTTAGGGATTATTAGCCTTTTGCTTTGTCAATAAAAAGTTGTTTAAATTAAATTTTTAAAAATAATTTCACAGAGTTTAAAATAAATCTATAAAAAAATTTTATCTCAAATTACATAAAAATATTTTTTCTAAGTATTTCCGAGAGTTTTCAAACATCCCGGATTTAAATCCCGTTTTAGCCATCTTTGACGCATGAGAGGACCATCTTTGACAAAAGCATTATAGTCAGTTTCACATTAAATTATAATTTTATTTTCAGTCTTAAATATTAAACAGAAATTTCGAGATTATTTGGAAGTTAATAGATACTAAATTGCTAATATTTTACCTAATTTTTTCAACGGGTTTTTTTTGGGTTAACCATCATATATAGAAATATGATATGATGCTAAACTTTTAAGGACCTAAATTAAAAGAATTGAAGTGGATTGATTCCAATTTTTTAAGGATATCACAATTAAATTTCTAATATTATTTATTAAAAATTATTTAGATCCTGAATTTTTGAATTTATACGAAATGTATACGTACTTATTAAATGTTTATAAACATTGTTATATAAATAAAAACAAAACTCTTTTCACATATTATTTATTTCTTATTCCCACTCATGAACGCTCCAGTTGCCATTCAAAACAAATCCTAATTAGAAAGATTTGATATTGACTGGTTGTACTAATAATTGTTGGTTGTTGATGCGAAGTACTAGTTTTTCTAATATCACGCTGATCACTGTGATTTGTGAACATTGTCTCATTTCGGTTTGTGTTTTTCTTTTCCACTTGGAATAAAATTCCACTTACCCTGAAATTATATTTTAGTTGATAAACCCATCACCAAAGATCACCTTTTCCGGGCACCATTAGTATGCAGGTGAGGGAGCGTAAAAAAGTCCCTCGTCCATTTCCTTTCCTCAACTACGCCTCTAATAATCTCATTCCCCACTTTAATTCAGAAGACAAATATTAATAACTAGGATCAAACCCGCCACGCCCATTTAACTACCTATTCACAGAAAAGCCTCCATCCCACTAACCAAAGCCCCTTCTAGCTAATTGAAGAACAAAATGCCCTCCTAACCCCAACTTTCCAAAAGATCGCAGAAATTCCAAGAGGCAACCAATAAGATGATCAAACACCAGTGGATCCAAAACCGCCTTCACCTCTGGCAGTGGAATCCAAATCTTGAACCTCTTCAACCTCGGGCGTCATGATCCTCTCGATTATCAGTTGCGCAATCCTGTCTCCAATCTTCACTTCAAAATCAGCATCCGAATGGTTGAACAAAATCACTCCCACAGGTCCCCTGTAATCCGCGTCAATCACACCCGCACCCACATCAATCGAATGCTTCCAAGCCAAACCCGAACGTGGTGCTGCAGAATCCAGGAATTTAGCCGAATTAATCCCACAAACCAATGGCTTAAAATTGTTAACAGATATTAAATTTGTCATTACCTATTCGAGCATAGGTTCCTTCAGGAATCGCTATGCTCAGGTCTGTTGCTACCAGAGCCTTCCCTCTTGCTGGCACCTTCGTCTCCACCGCGCTGCAACATTATTCAGAAAACATGGGTTTTTAGTTATTCACAATAAATCTGAGAGTGAGAGTGAGAGAGAGAGAGAGAGAGAGTTTCTGATCAGAGCCTCACCTAGATAGATCGTAACCGGCGGAGAGAGAGGAAGCCCTAGAAGGCAAAACGGCCTTGTCAGAGAGCTTCTTCACTCGAAGAAAAGGCACAATGGAGGTGCCATTGGATTCAACCTTTTGGATCTTGGGTGAAGGTTCCGGGGCCTCACAGCCATTGCTCTGCATCGCTGTTTGAACCATTGTAGGAAGACGAAGACGATGAGGAAAACTTGGATAGGAAAATGGTATGAGGCGAGGCGGGGAAGATGGAAGGTAGGAGTTATATAGAGGAAGAGACAGGAAAGATTTTAGGGCGCCAAGTTTTCCCGCCATTTTACTCTGTAGTATGAAATGTAGTCTCCATCCCCTGCTTAATGCTCAATCCTCACATTTCACGAAATTGCATTGAAACTTGGCAATGGCCATGCATTCTTTCTGCGACCCAAGATCAAACCCAACTCCTAAAATTAAAACCTCCGAATATCAAATATCTAAATCAAAATTGAAAATGCTAAATTCAACAACTCCCTTAACTAAAATATATATAACTTTCCAGAATACCTAATCTCTAAATAAATAAATGCGAGGGTGAGAACAATAAGAAACCTGAGATCAGGAGGAAGAAAAAGAAGCGAAGGAGGGTTGCGCGAAGGACGGTTTATGGGTTCTGCTCTCCCAGGACAGGAATACGGCGGAGAAAACTCCTCCTTTCAAAGCGAGGGGGATTTTCGCCCGGAAAAAAACAAAACATAAAACAAAACAAAACAAAAAACAGGCAAGTAGGATCAATTTTGGAGATCTTTGTGACCACCTCTTTTCCTGGCATCAATTTCAATATTGTTATCATAAAATTTGGGCTTAAAATTTTAGTTGGAAAAGTATTAACAAATTTCATTGGTCTAGTTGTATTATCTATTAGATTTTCAATTCTAATTGTCTAATAAATTATCTACTGAATTTTTATTCTTTTTGTGATTCTTATATGGTACTCATAACTTATATTCATATATGTCACACAAAAAAACCTATATTCATATAAATAAATATATATAATTGTAATAATTATTAAGACATCAGAATCTCATCCTTCCATCATTTTTAGATGAGGAATCAGGTACAAGTCAAGAGAAAGCACCAACTGAGCTTATATTTAGTCGTCATGACTCCTTGTTGCTTTTACTTTTGTTATTTAAAATATTTAAAAAGGTTGAATTGAAATATATTATTTTAATAAATGAAAGCATCAGCTATGCATTAAAAACTGCTGGCAGCAAAAAAAAGAAGAAGCTATGCATTAAAAACTGTTAAAAGCAAGCAAACTGATACAAAACGTAAAGGGAAAAACTATTCCTCTCATCAAGTTCCAGTCCCATAACCACAGTGGAAAGTACCCTAAACAATAAACACCCATGAAGATAGCAATAATAATGAACTTACAAACATAAAAGAACACAAGTAAAAAACAGTAAACAAGAAGACAGGAGCCCAAAAAATTACCATTCTATTTAATCAGCTTACGTTGATTCTGAGAGATATTTAGGTAAAAATCAAATCATGATTTTAAAATTAATTTTAAGATATAAGAAATAAACATATAAAAAGAGTTTCATACGCGTGAAAATATTTTTTAAATGATTTTGGAATATCCAAACCAAATATTATTTGTTGTTGAATTAGATTGGTGTGGTGTCTTATTTGGTTTAGCTGATTGAATAGAATGGGGTCTTTACATCTTCAAATTTCTTCGTAAACATTGTAACACTGTTTTCACGATGACCCCTTATTCATCCATCACATGCAACATCGGCCAGCTAGTTAACACTTGGCCAAGCCATCAATGTCGAAAGGACATTTTTCTGGACGTTCGTTTCGAAAGGACATTTTGTTCCCACAATATATGTAGCCATTTTACATGCGTTTGTACCCGGTTAAAACAAAAAAAAAAAAAAAGGTTCCACATACACACTTTGACTAAACCCCCAAAATCCTACGAGTATATGATACTGCCAATTACATATTTCAAAACAAGATAAAACTAAAGAGAAAACCCTATTACAAGGTTAAAATATGAGAAATTGAAAAATAGAAAATTAAGAGAAAGGAAAGGGATACAAGAGGCTAAGACAAAACAAGATCCAAATCTTCTAATGAGCAGAGTGGGTTGAGGATGTTTTCTTAAAATCAATCTTGTCAACCTTCACCTCTCCATCAATGAGTTCATAGACATAGACCACAACACGCAGGCCATCAATGTCCATGAGGACAAAGCTTGGGTTAACGTCGTAAGTGATGCTGCTGTAAGCACCTGTTGCAGAACCTGGATTTATAACGACACCACCCTCATGTTTGTAAGCGGTGAACTGATGGGTGTGACCTGTGACAAGGATGTCCACATCAAGCTGTCTCTGAAGCATTGCCAGTGAGTCTAGGTCGCCCCATGGAATAACCTTCATAAACAATAAGAACAAAGCATAAGAATCATGTAGCAGTACATAAGCCGGCATTATATTTGTTTTCCTCTGACATCCCTTTGATATCTAATGATAACAATTAATTTACATTCAAGCATTCCTGATACCTCACTTATGGAGTAACAAGTCTTTTATTTTAAACTCAACCCAACTGGTACCGGTAAATCTTTAGCTTCTACTTGACTGAACCAACAATAATTACATAAAAATCCTACAAACTGTGGGAAATAGTTGAATGGAAAGTTAAGAAACAGTTGCAGGTGGTACAGTGTGAAACACCTTCAATCGGAAGACAATGAGAGATAACCATTGCCCATATGTGCAACATGTATTTGAACTAAGAAAAAATGGCATCGTTTATGCGAAGTTTCTTCAGGGGATGCTACATAAATGGGTTCAAAATATTCCTTCAATGCCAAAATATTTTCCCCGGTCTTAAATTATAGAACTTTTCACAGTGAAACAAATCCAGGAGTCAAGCCCTCTTACTGCCACAGAAATCTTAAACTGCACAATTTCTGGAACCTAGATATGTAAGGAAATAAAATGGCAGAAATAATAGCTGAGTCAAAAATTAAAAAAAAAAAGATAATTAAAATTAAAAAAAAAAAAAGGCAAGACCTGATGGCCATGGCATAGTCCCAGCTTAAATTGACCAATAGTTAGTGTTTTGGTCTCTGGATATCTTGTATCTTCATCATATTCTCCACGAGTTATATGCAAATCAGGACACAGAGTCTTCAAATAGTCATGAACTTCCTGAACATAATTGGCATTCAGTTAGCTTAGAAGTCCAAGGCCATATTATCTAATTGAACACCATACTGGCGACAAATTGCAACTCTTTGCATTATCAAATAATTTTTACTTTCGAAGCCAATTCCCACAGCCTCAATGTTCATTCAGTTAGTCTTACTACCTCCAGTCCTACTTGTAAGACCTAGTTTGTAGAGCAAATTGCACTACAAACTAGATCTTATAATTAGGAATGGAGGCAGTACTATTTACAGTAGAAATCACTTCTGGAAATGTAAGTCCAATTGGAATGAACAATCAAAATAACTGACTATCCAGGTAAACAAAAAATTAAGTCTATTTTAAAATTCACAGTTTAAAATCTTTGTTCAGTTCACCTAAACATAAAATTTTTATCCAAGATCCCAGTATCTGGAGAAATCAGTATAAAAGTTTAGAAACTCCAATACAAGGTAGTTGTAAAGTTATAATCCATCCAACTTTCAAGGGAATGTGATCTCTCATAAGCATGTTGTCTGAGTTACATGAGCTACTACTGTTCTCCTTCAAATAGCTCAAACTTTCAGTTTGAGTGAGGAGTGGGTTGTTACATAGATCAACAAAAGCTGAAACTGGCATCCTACCCACACGTTACATGATCTGGGTAACCAAATCCAAAAGAAAATCTCTGAATTACATGTTTTGTGACAGAGCGCCCACTTACAAAACATATACATAAGCGCTAGGAGAATAAAACAAAAAATTTATAATAGTAAGAGTTAAACTCCAGAAGAAGGGCAAAAAAAAAAAAAAAGGCTAGATATCATTCTTAAAAGAACACAAACTGTAATGACATCATGCTCCGTGCTAGAAAAACCCCTCGTGTGATACCATAAAATGTTAAATTAACTAACTGGAGCTTTCTAGCCTACTTTAACATGTCTGGCCAAACAATCTCATTTGATAGTTATCCACGAACATTTTGAACTATGGAAGTAGCAGTATTTCAGAGCCTAAAATGAAAAGAAAGGACTAAGAAGATGCAACTCATTAATTATGGGTTTCTCAACCCAAATGAATCCTAAATATGAGTTTGTACTTGATCCCTAGGAATTTTATTGATTGATTTATAACATGACTTGCATATGCCAGGACCCACACACGTACTGTGTGAATGTAAGTATTTTGAGAAATCTGTTAGTAAATGTGAATGTTTCATTTTTATTTAGTACTCTCCCCCTTCCAAAATACAAGAAAGATTTTTTCCCCATTTTACATGTCTTTTTAGAAGTACAATACAGCATTTATTGATTTTTTCCTAGTATAATCTTATTTATAATCTCAATTTAGCATTTTACACCTGTTTCTTTATTTTCTTTTCATTAATTATAAAATTAGCTAAGGGCAAATGTGGAAATGTAAAAGAAATTTTGCCCTATTAGTTGCATTTCTAAATCTGTGAGCAAAAGCTTAAAAGACCTTTATTTTGAAAAGGAGGATGTATAAAATTGACAACCATTTCAATTGCTTTCAGAAAACCTATGACAAGCCAATCAATCACGAAGTTAAACACTCCTATTTAGGAAGGAACAGGAATGCCTTTACTAAGATTGTAAGTGTGCAACTACAGGTAGTTGGTGTATGCAGCTTTAATATGGCACGGGCGAAGACTGAAGAATAACTAAAGTATTTGAAAAGAGATGCAAAAACTAAAGAAATGAAAGCCCAAAATCCAATAAGCAAATAAATGCTTCAGCATGCCAGGCTATTAGCAACAGCAAAAAGAGCATTTTTATTGAAAGTTATTTTCTTCTTCATTCTTATTTTATTTATCATTTTCTTTTTTTTTCCCTGACCAAATGAAATGTACTTTCATTTACTGATAAAATCGACGGCAAATTGACCAGTAGGTAGTGTAACTCTCAACATTTTAATTTAAAATGACATTAAATCGCCATTATTCAACACCTAGTACAAATACTGAAGAGATTAAGTAATCACAATTTAAAGCAAATAGGAAGCAATAAACAGACAACTACTAATTGAGGGAACTATAAGACTGTCCACCAAAGAAACTCACAAATTGATTCATATTCAATTAGAATGCATGAAGATATTTTAAGGATATACATTATTGAGTGATCAAGTTTTTTGTATGGCAATTACAAGAAGAATGCTGTTGGTCACAAGCAGATGTTATGAAGCTATTTTAAGGAAATACCTTATTGAACGGTCAAGTTTGTTATATGGCAATTTCAAGGAGGACACTGTTGGGGTCACAAACAGATGTTATGAAGGACCTCCATTAAGAGGAAGCAAAGAGTTGAAGCCACTCACACACACATATACTATGAATAATATGGATAAGCTCAGTAATATAGACACACTTTGTTAAATGATTAGAAGAAAGAAAGATAGACATACTTTGATACATAAATTGCCAGTGCAAATGATGTGCTGGATCTTGCCAGGAACAAGCATGGATTTGAACTTCGCTGGCAGATCAGGGGCCCTGTGCGGTATGTGCAAGTCCCCCAGCGCCAAGACCAGTACCATTCTTAACAATCAAAAACTGAAAGCCACTTAGGGAACCTGCAGAAACAGAGTATTGCTTGAAAACAGAAACAATGACTCATTTCAAATGTATCCAGACCAGTGGCTATTCAGATTACAGAAACAAAACGTAAGATAGGGCTCTGTGTCATCAATCATCATCAGATAAAACTTGTTCATCAACAATTATTAGCTAACGAACTAAATATTGTGGTTTCTGTACACAAATTATTTGATTAAGCTTGTGATAGAACAATCACATAAATATTACTGAATCAACAAAAATACCAAGAGAATTCCAATTCAGAGTTAAGAGATATAATCCTGATACAAAGCAAGTAGTACCAGCCAAGAAAACATAAGAGAAGAAAATGACATCAAACCACAACAGCAGAAACAAAGAACTAAAACCCTGCCTATCTTTTGAGAAGCAAAAATCACAGTCAGAACTCTCCTAGATTTATCCACACTGATCATCCCTTCAAAGATCAACCCCTGAAGGTTCCCCTGAGGCCCTGATAACCAACATATTCTCAGTCCTCCAGCTTGCCCCTCTCTCCTCAAGCTGCCATACAAAAGTAGCTATTCCCCTTGTAATTCCCTTCCTGCCCCTCTAACACCTCCTTGCTCTTTACTCGTCGAGAACATGATTAAAACTATTGACTCCACTTTTTAATTCACTTCCCGCAGACCTCTTTCTCTTCTCTTTTTTCCCTCCTTCTGCAATATTATTACATATATTAACAAAGGCTAGTCAGCTTTCAACAAAAAGATGTCAGTAATTGAAGTTTTCTCACTTATCCATAACCTTAACATTCAGTTTTCCGCCCATACCCATTTTACTGTTAGCGGAAAAAAAAATGACGCCTTTCTTTGCAATATGTAATTTTCGGCTCATTAGAGAGTGCGGCTCCATCATGTTGATTTGCATTAAAATGCAATGTAATACTTATAATCAATTTCCATTTTGCGATATTTTTTCAAGTATCACTTGTCTCCATTTACACTGAAAAAGAGGGTGTGAAATATTGAGTTGAATAGAGTTAAAAGCTATAAAATTCAATAACAAATCAGGAAATAGAATGATGGAAATTTACAGGACGTTGCTGGGAAATGAAAAAAATAGGGGACAGGATGATGGCCATGAATGGAGGCAACCACAGCGGACGTATATTACACTCAGTGGTGGCAGATGCCCCATTGGATATATATCCTTTTCATTTTTGTTCCAGATACTTTAACTAAGATGCCTTAGCAAGCGAATTGATTGAGGCAACTCCTCCAAGCCACTGAATGATTATCACTTAAACTCAACCTTCTACATTGTTAGACACAACTCGAGCCAAGTCATTTCCCAGATCATGCATAACAAATAACTTGAGAATTTTCTAAATAGATGATAATATAAAGAGATTAATATACAGTGCGAATACACAAAAAATCGAACATTGCACAACAAAACAATCCAAACAATATAAGTCGCTGGAAATCAAAATGAAGAGGGAAGAAGTATAATAGTCGATTACACGACATTGAAGCAAAACCTGGTAACAAGAGTTTTCTCTTTTAAAAAGTGAAAGAATCTTTATTCAAAAACATCGATATCCGAAAGATCACACGACCAGATTCAAATCTAGATTCAAAGCCAGATCGAACAAATCAATCTCACAGGATTTTGGCAGTGGACAAAGCCCTAGGGTCCGAACCTTCTTCAATACTTGCCCGAGAACAACCACGCAGGGCTGACAACGGCGGACGGCGTCCGACGACGAGCCCGACTAAGTATGGAGCGCTTGTTCGTCAACGAAGAAAAATGGCTTCTATTAACTTTTTTTTTTTTGGGCCAGTAAAGCTTCCATTAACATCTAACAACTATTATCACCGTCATCGTCATTTATGTATTACTCTTTCCGTTCCTTATTATAAGAGACGAATAACCGATTAACGTTGATAAAAAACATTAAATTAGTTAAGAACAATCAATGTGTAAAAAGTATAATATTTTTTTCAAAACTGCCCTCATTAATAAGGAGAGAGAGCATGAGAGAGAATAATTAAATTATTAAAAAAAGAGAAGTAGGAGAGAGAAAAAGTGTGAGTTGGAGACAATAAATATGAGTAAATAGAAAATCAACACAAAAAATTAGAGACAACTTTTAAGTGTCTCTTATATATAGGAACATGTCATAAGCATCAAATGTCTCTTATAATAAGGAACGGAGGGAGTATTACCTTGGGCACTTAATATAAGGAGTGATTCCCCTAATATAAATAGATTAAAAAACTAATTAAATTAGTTATTTATAATAAATAGATATTGTTTTTTTCTAAAATATTATCATTAATCAAATATATTAACTAAAAATATTATTATTATAAGAACTATTTTGAGAAAAAAAAATATGAAAAATAAAGTATATTAAGATCTTATATTTACCAAAATAAAAATTAAACAAATTCTTATATTAAGAACTAAAATGATATTATATATGGATTTTTATATAGAATATTTAGTCTTCCTCGTAATTAGATAATATTAAAAAATATTGTTAAATTAGTTATTTGTAAATATATATGTTTATTTTGATAGATTACCTTTTTAATAATTTGCATTAAATATTGGGTGTGATATCTTGAATTTTAAGATATTAAAGAAAGTAGGAAGAATTATGAAGAAATAATTATTAAAATTATTTAATGTCTAAAAAAATTGAGAAAAAATTATGCAATATTAATTTTGAGAGTTTAGGATATTATGGAAGAGTTAATTTTCCAAAAACGATTTAAATAATTTTGAAACTAATTTTTGGAGCAAAAAGGCTTATTTCTCATACATGAAAAAAAAAATTAGAGGTTTACATTGGATTGAAATTTTTAGGATAATTATTATATGAGTTAAAGAAGCCAATTGAGGTAGAAAATATTTAAAATGAATTAAGTTTTGAAATTTAGTACTATTTTCTTTAAAAAATTTTAAAAAAGTTAGAAATTAATTTTTGATTCGGACTTTTCAGAGAAACCATCTGATGGGTCAAAGGAACTAGTAAAGAAAGGAAATTTATTAAAACTATCAAGGATTAAATTTTGGAATTTTAATTAATTCAAAAAATAGAGGATTTAATTGTAACCAAATGGTGATCAAGGGAGCATATGGATAATTTCATTTGCTCTCACCCACTTAAACCATCTGATTCCCTTCCCATTTTCATTCGTTGCGACGCTGAACCAGGGAGAAGGAGCGAGAGAGTCCGAGAGAGAAACGAGAGCGAGAAGGGGGTGATCCGAGGTCAATATCGTGCATGCAACCCGTGATCTAGAGTAAGGTAATCCTTCTGAATCTTCTCCTTCCTTCATTTCTGGAGCATGTTTTGTAACTGTTAAAGACGGTTAAATCTGGTTGTAAGAGAGAGAAAGTGCCAGTTTTTAAGGGAGAGAAAGTGCCCAGATAGGCTGTGTTAAACGGTCATGATGGAGATTGTTGAAGGGGTTTATGCTCATGCATGTGTATTATATGCTCTGGGTTACTGTCGCAGAAACAGGGGTAATGAGTTAGAAATATGGCGTCGGATATAGCTTGTGAAAGTGAAAAACAATGATCAAGTTTGTAGTGGTTGATTTAAGGGATTGCATGTGATAGTTCGGATCTTTGTTGGGTGTATTTCGGATCTGAAAATTTTCGGATTCATTGAATAAAGTTGTTTGAGAATTTCAGAAGGGCGTGAATGAGAAGAATGAAGCATTGTGTGAGTGTGTGTATATGTATTTGATTACTCGTGTTGACCGTGGAAGCTGGAAGTTAAGTATTCTAATTAAGAAAACCACAGTGGAGACAATTAAATGATGGTTAAGGCTCATGGTAAATACTCCTCTGGTCTTAAATATAAGATTTTTTTGTAATGCAATTTACATTACAAAAAGAGTCTTATATTAGGGCCGAAGGAGTACGTGTGTATGTGTATATTATCAGATGTATGCATATATATATATATGGCTTAGGGGTACTGTTAGGAAATGGTGATTGTGGAAGTATGTGTGTGAGACGTGATAATGATCTTGGAAGCTTTAAGGATTTAAGAAAATACCTCTAGTTTGGTTGTTGGATGATTAAGGAAGCCTAAAAAATGTGTGCGCGTATAAGTTGCTGCTGTGTTTTGTTAATGAGGAGTCTAAATGCAAGATGCTTTAATAGGAAGTTTACAGACTTATAAAAATGTTATGTTATAGATATGTATATAAAAAATGAATCTTAAAAGGATGAGATTTAAGAATAATGCCCCGGTTTAAATGATCACTAAGAATAAATTATAGGGAATTGAGAATCAGGTGTAAATACATGGTATGTTGGAATGTTAGAGTTTGAGTTTGTGGATATCTTTTTCCCCTGTTTTGGACAGCATTGTATAACTGGGGGGAAGTTGAATTTGATTATATTTTTGAAGCTTCAAAATGCATTCAAGGTTGTTTGTTTGATGTTCCAATGCTTAGTAATTGAACGAACTACATTTGGGAGCATCAAGGTGAGGGTTAAATCAAGTTTGAGATAGTTGAATAAATGCGGTGGTTTGATTATGATTTTGGAAGTGAAAAGATAAGAAATGCTATAAGATTGTAATTGAATGAGCATAGAAAACATAGGATTTTAGAATTTATAAAGAAAAGTTGTTTGAGGAATGTTAAAGTTTGAAGGGATTAGGTGAGTAGAGTAGATATTTGAAGTTTGGGATTTTGAGTTTGAGGATGAGATTGATTGAAATTCAAGTATGACGTTTTAATATATTAGATATTTCATTTTGGTGACTGTTTTGGGGACCAAAGAATTTAAGCGAGGAATTGACTTGAAATTATTGTTTGAGGTTTGCTTGAGGTTTCCAAATGGTGGATGGAAATTTTAAATGGGTAGATTAAAGATTAGTGTTTGGAAATCATTTCAAAGGTATGCATTCGGAAAATTCTTAACGGCACAGTCAACGATTAAGGTATGGAATAAAATTGATAATTGATAGAATTTGTTAGACAGGTTGTTGGAGGAATGTTAGACCAAAGTTTAAGAAAATTAATAGATAATTAGAAATTGAAATTGCTTGGCTTGGAAATGAGATAAAATCAATTGGTGCGATTATATATATATATAATGGTTTATGTGTCTTGGCCATGCGTGCAGAATTAGTGAAGTTGGGAGTGGATGATTGAGGCATAGAGGGCACCTTGTTGTCCATAAATGTAATATATATAAATAGTATATTTGATCAAGATGACTTGTTATTAAGTAAGATAACTGATTGGAATTAAAAAAGGAAGGAGAACATTTCAAAAGGTATATTATAAGTAAGAATTATTGTTCAGGATAACCAACTATTAAATAAAAGGAATATAGTTTATTAATGGGTCAAGAGAAGTTCTATCTTGATAATAAAAGTTTAATGGACTAAGCATTAACCCATTTATATATGAAACTATATTATAAGATTTGATATTTGTCTTAGCCCACCAAGAAAGCTAGTAAAGCAAAAATCTGGACAAGATACCACCTCCACATGTCACCACCTCACAGGCCACCTTGTACCGTCACATGTAACTATGATATAATTCCTCCTCAAAGTGATTTCTTCAAGGGTTGAACTAGGGGTCCTGTGTGTGCGTGCACACGACTTCACTAGTTGATCTGCAATAAACCTACAAACATATTATGCAAAATTTAATATATGTGTGTGTGTGTAAAATATTCTTTTACACAAACAATTACATATACACATATAAATTATTAAAAAACAAAAATAACACTAGATGATCATTTTAATGATAACTATTTTTATGACAAAATAATTTTAAAATATTTGTTTTACTATTTATTTTATCTTATTTTATTTTTAAAAATATTTTAATATAATATTAGTTTCTAATGACACTAATTTTTAATTTTAAATTGCACATAATGTTTTCATAAATATATATATTTTTTAATATAAGTCATGGGTCCTACATCTTTTTGAAAAGATAGATTCATTTTCCCCACCATGACCCATGAAAAATAGAATTTTCAACTTTCACCAAAAAAGGGGCTTCAATTCAATATACACATCCAGGTCAAAAGAAAAAAACCACAACAAAAAAGTTCGAAAATTTAAAGCAAGAATGCGATTGACGCGGCATAATGATGACTTTTTGAATGAATAAGGCTAACCCTATGTTTGTTATGAGAAAATCAGAGGAGAGGATAAATTTTAATGAGTTTGATTAGAAAAATTGAAGAAGTGAGAATCTAAAATTTTGATAAACAGGAGATGTAAGATAAAAGAAGAGGAAAATTTAATTAAAATTTTTTAAACTCTACTTCTTTAATTTTTTTAAATCAAACTCATTAAAATTTTCTCTTCCCTTTCTTTTCCTTAATTTCTTTCTTACCAAATGGGCTCTAAAGGAAACATTGCAAAGAGGGAGGATGTTGTTTCAGCCTTTATCAGGACTTGCACAGGAGTTAAAGAGGATAATGCTAACGCTATAAGAAAAAACGATTTCGCAAAAAATGTTTCAGATTTGATGATGATGATTTTTGGAATGAAGATGATGATTTGCACATGGGGATGACTTCAAGCTGGGGAAGACGGAAAGAACGGGAAGATTAGGTGAGGCTAGCATCCAAGGATTATTATTAGTAGACTCACAAAAATGTCCCTTAGAGCCATTATGAATTTTAGTCAAGAATAAATTGATAAATTAATAAAAATAACATGTCATCTCCTAAATAATTGTTTAATAATCTGATGTGGTGGATCTGATTCTCTCGTAATCCTTCTTTTTTCTTTTCTTCTCA